TGAAATTTTATAAAATTCGTAAATTTTGAATTGCTATAACTTTTCATTTTCTCGGTCAATTTTCACAAATCAAATTGCAGTTTATAGAAGCATTTAACAAGCTCGCGGTGAAAAAAAAAATCAAATGTAACAGACATTGCGAAGTACCCAAAATTAATAAAATAAAAACACCATAAAACGAATGGCACGCATAGACTAATAATTGACGGCTGTACTCGCAACTAATATCGGATTGTCGATGCCACAGTAAAGATCAAAGGACTGTACGCACACGCTATGTTCGAGAGCGGAGATGTGCGTCCTTTTGTTGAATTCTCATTATAATCATTATATTATATTTATATTGTCTTGAGTGAGTAAAGTATGATGCTACTTCGAAAGTGCTATAAACCATACAGTTTCTTTGGAGTTTGTATCATGCTATATGTAGGCTCTTGTTAAATTTCCCAGTACTGTAGTAATCTGCCTGAAAATTAAAAGGCTAGCTAACAGGTCATGCTGACTCAAAGAGGCCCTTCTCTAAACTGATCTCCCTAAAATTTAAAAGGCTAGCTAAAGGTCAGGTAGGCCTGGCATTACCATTAATTAGGCCTCCTAATACATTGGGAAAATTATATAAAAATATATAAATTAATAAACAGTTTTAATAGTTAGAGCCTATTGCAGTTAAGCATATAAAAACATTTGACAAAAATTCTTTGAATGGATTGAAGTGGATGAATAAAATTTTGATTGATAGCCTAGGGAATTAATTACTCCAATACCTAATAATGTGGTGGTTATAGCTATATTATAATTATTCATGATTTTAATATTTATTTTGTGTTAGTGACCAGTGCTCAACTAAAGATCGGTGAAACTTGCATAAGAGTACCAATAATTTTAGATGTTTTCTTTTTAAATTTCACAAACGGTTCAGAGATCGTTTGTGGTGTAACAAAGATGACTAAGAAATGGAGAAATTCTACTGATACATCACTGAGAAATTGCAAGATGTGAATAGATCGAAAGTTAATTCTACT